TTTTTTTTTTTTTTTTTTTAAAGATTATAGACCAGGCTTTATAATGATATATTTCAGTTTTATGGTTTAGGGTTTTATATGCATGTAAAACCATCACCTCGATGATCCCGAAACATCATCATAACATTCTTGCATTGCATTTTGTTACCCAAACGATTGCCTAATTGATGAGGAACTACACTTGTAAGGATTTACAATAACATCAGCAATACTTGTAAACATCTGCATTATGGAAGGCAGCAGTCGTACAATGAGTAAATCAATATTGACGGTATACTGGAGGGCAAGTATTGACTTGGGACTCCGCAGAGCTATGGGAATCATTGATTGGATCTAGACTATAGTATACTATGACAGTCCACATCATACATATACCATGTTGACAGCTAAGTTTCTATTATAGCAATGATATAAACAGAACTCACGTGCCATATATAAATGCATGAACTGACCGAGTACATAAAAAAGAAATAAGAACACAAGTAAATTACAAGCCTTTACAATTGTTTTCACTTTCGCATTCCATTTTACTAAAAAAAATTCCAAATTATTTCAATTGGGTCCTACACAAGTAGGCAAAATTTACTAGTGGACACTCAAACTGTACCAGATTTTCCTTTGTCACTAAGAAATTTTAGTTGAAGGGGTGGACCACTACACAGAATTCACAGTAGTAATCCTGTGTGTAATTGTGTCAGACATGCAATATAGGGTAATGCCAGCCATTTTTACACACAAAAAACTAATAGATTGGCTCCTTTATCACTGATTACAAAGCTCTGAAACTTCTGCAGTGTAGGTGGAACGTAGAGGGGGCATACCTCATTGGGTACGTTGTGCGCACTACATAACACAATACCAGTGCAGCCTATACAGAAAATTGATTGATACCTTTCACATGCTGGTCTAGGTTGAGTCTTACTCTTAGCGATGAATGAGAGGGCTTCAGTTCACTGTCTGAGGTCATGACATTGTCGTTAGGAAGCTGTACTAGCACATACTGCATAAACTATAGTCTATAGAGCTCTACAGTATAGGCTTCAATAGTGCCCAAATATACACAGTACACACTGTAGTATAGCAAACAATAACCTCATAAAGAGATTGAAATAAATTCATCGGATATTTAGTTGATAACTGTAAAATGGAAGAAGACAGAACTTTAGAAGAACATAATATTAGTGAAGCTCTGTCTACTTGTGGATATCCGCATTGGTCAATCTCACATGTGAAACGACAAATAGAGAATAAGCAGCAGCATAACATCGCGAAACCGAAAAAGAAAAACACTGCAGATAAAATGAAAAGTCATGTTGTCATCCCGTACATAAAAGGACTGTCTGAAAGATTTGCCAAGGTGCTACGAACCCACGGGGTAGGCGCATCGTTCAAACCCCATCTTACAGTCAGGAATCTTCTAGTACATCCAAGACAGTAATAGAAACGGCGATTAAACTTGGATGTCTATGAATTAGTTCAACTGCCATGTTATACTAGGGGGAAACCGTTCGAATTTCGGGTCACCCGCCTTCAGACAAAAAGACGTGAGGCGTCTGCTGCGAAACACCAATCGTAAAGGATTAGCTCCTCTAAATCGAAGGGAAGTAACATCAGCGATTACAGAACTATTGTTTAATTAATCATGTTCACAATTGACGACCCAAGTCCTCCCAGCAAAGAAGAGTTCTATAGACCGTACAGAGCAAAAGGCGATTCAAATTAAATAGACCTTAATGTTTAATGTCCATCGCGCTCTCGATTGATCAGCGAGAATGGGAAAAACGCGCACCTAAGACATTATAAAACGCACACTTTTTTTTTTTTTTTCCATTAAAATTCAAAAGCATTATAAAATCTAATATAAACGCAAATGTTAATAGAAATACAGACATTGCAGGAAAGTCACAATGTTATAACGTGCAGTGAACGCCTCTAGAATGCCGATATATTGGTTTATTTTTAGATAAATTAATAGTCTACTTGAAAATTGAGTGTTTTCCTTTTGCTAACACTGCAAATGTGTGACAAGTTACCACATCATAGAACTGATATTTGTCAGATAAAAAAATCACCTACAAAAAGTAAAATATAATAGAACAATATGCAGAGCTAATTTTAACCAAAATTAAAAATGCATTTCATGAATCTAGTTTAAAATTCGGGGGGGCATTCACCGAACACCCTAGTTGCGGTGAACTTGGCAATCCCGATACAAATCACAACGCCGAGCTATCAAGTGGGAGATTTACGTCCGCCTGCTTTTTCCAAAACACAAGGACTGGAAAGTCGCCGTCTAATATGAACAGAGACGAAGGGGGCCTACAAACTCTCTAATACAACAACCTCCTGAAGCCCAACGCCAGAACACCCGTGGCGGGGGCCCCGAGGCTCCTGTGACGTCACGCGGATACTACGTCATCGACTGCCACCTATATGATGACTTAGGTCACTTGATAAAGATCGCTGACAGTGATTGAAACTGTTGTAAAGGTACGTTAAAATTTAGGATATATTTCAATATGAACCATTCCAAGTCTTCAAAATCCAGGAGACAATATCGAAGACTTAGAGAAAAAGTTGATGAAATAGATATAGATCAATACTGTGGATTGCAGTAGAAAAAGCTTCAATTTTGCAATTAACCAAAGAGGAAGGAAGAAAATTCTAATAACATTGAATGACAGGAACTAGCACTAGCACTAGCAGCTACGAATGCGGAATGGGATAATTTGGCTTTGAAGCCAATTGATGGTCCCGCTCAGGTGACCAATTGCAAGTGCTAATTAAGATTCTTAGCAAGAACAATGACGTTATACAACGCCAATTTCGTCAACGTTGTTTCAGACACTTACCTATTTGTACAGTAATCGCTCATCAATCACATCGTCCTTACTACGCCGTAGTGTGTTAGTGACAGGGTCCGTGACCGTGACGGTGACTGTGTGAAGCCAGATGATCAGCGAAGGATTGAAAAGTACATGTAAAGTGAACTCGGTTAGTAATAGTTGACACAATCGTCAATATTATTGCAAACACGACTACACCTGGGCGAGATTAGGTATTTTTGTCAAGGTATCATCCTAGATAGTAGTTAGAGCGATGGCGTTACGAAGATGAAGCTGCAGGAAACAGGCGTTACAGAGACGCGATATCACTAGAACTATTCAGATATCCGCCGATATGCGCACTGACCTGCTCATGTGCTCTGCTCACGCTTCACGCTCTACGGCATTTGCATAAACCGGAACTGTAGCCAACCGGATATGGCGTCACATCATTGTTACTATTACTTTTTTCTGAAATAGCAATACACGACAGCATATATTTAAATTTTGTAAATTATTGGACTACATTAATTTATGTAAATATGCTGCTAATAGACGCTTTGTCGAAAATGTGTTTTAATAATATTGACCAATAGACTATCGGGTTGCTCGTAAGTCCCGAAATCTTACGATGGGCGGAGTAAATAGACTGGTACCCGATCCCACCTCTCGGGTTAGGGTGAATTCAAATAAATAATAAAGTTTATTGCACAGATAATTACTCTCCCACCCATGGGGGTAGGATTACTCCATAGATATCATATAACAACATATATGATATAACAACAATATATCATATATCGGGTTGTTTAATATATGATATCTATGGATTCCTCTCCCACCCATCGAGTAATTGAGGTGGGAGCGAGTACCAGTCTACTGAGTAAAAAACATTCGCTGGTGCATGTATCACCCGAAACATAACAAACAATAAAGCGGTTTTATCGCGTAACGCTATTGATGTAAATTATTTATTAAAGCAGGTTGGTAATAGTCGTTGTAATGTGATTATACAATAATATCTGTTATTTCTCTGCGTTAATATTCAATCTAATCTATTTGCCGTATTTTATTCTTTTATGGTATATTATTGCCATTGTAGATGCGTTTCTGATTTTCTCGTAGGTTTGTCGCTTGGGTTGTGAGTCAGGTCAGCCTGTACCGTGGACTGATGATTCAATGAGCATATTTTTGTTGGGAGTTTTCTTTTAACATTCATTTCCGTGTTTTCTGTGAGACCATCAAACTCGTACACTTTGCTTCGCAGTATATGCATATTTCTTAGGAAGTATGGATGCACAACGTCTACGTAAGGAATGTTCGGGACCCAAACCTTGTGTCGGAGCAAATCGCCCTACTCACACCTCGGCTACTTCATCGTCGTCAACTACGGGTACCCGCTGGTCAACCGCATTTATTTTAATTGTCGTGGCTTCTTTCGTTGGATCGGTGAGTCTTCTGTAACCAAAACCCCAACACTAACCTAATGTGAACACATATGATATTGGTGTAGCTCCGCAAAATAGTTCAACTTCAAGACTAACAGTTGGATCAGTTTCTGAAATTGAACATTGACTCAGCGCGTGTACTGGCTGTGTACTGGCTGGCAATGTTAATCTTGCAACTTGGTATGGCCTGGGTATATTGGTGCTAAAGCGATAGTCAAACCTAAAAACATATGGTTGTTCATAAATCAAAAATGCACGTTTTAAAACGTATTCAATTTAAGTTCTTACTCTCGATATACAAAGTGTCAAATGACGTAACTTCATGGAATGCCTTTCAGAATGGAGCCGTCGCAACAGACACTGGTCACTGCGTTTGGTATGGTCAGTGTGGCACTGACAATTCTACAGGACTTTCCCAGAACTGTGCCTACAATGGAACAGCCAAACCTCTTACGGAGCCAAAGGCCGTGGATCTCCTGAAAAAACTATGCCCTGAATATGCAACAGGTATAGCCAATTAAGTGTCAGTTAAATGATTTTACTGCGTTTTCAGTGATTGATATCTAAAAGATTGATCTAATATAGTTTACAATCCATTACTCTAGCAAGATCATGGCAAGATTTGAATCATAGCACAAAAATACTTGTAGCAGACTTTTCACATATTCAGGCATACTCCCTGACTTACGAACAGGTTCGGTTCCAAGCAGTCGTTCGTAAGTCGTTTTGTTCAGAAGTCGAACATACGTACGTATGTATACAGTACTGTACAGTAGTGTAGTATATGTACAGTACGTGTGAACATCTTGTAACCTAAAGTGTACATAGTGTAAACATATATACCAGGGATCGAATTTGACGACGGCAACTGACGGCAAATGCCGCCGGAACATATTGATTTGCCGTCAGAGGTAGTCTGTATCGGCGGCAAGTAGCGGCGGCTTAGTAACTGACGTGGATATTCGTCCGAGCATCAGATTATACTCTTAACCGACTCGGCTATCTTATATACACGAGTACCAAAATTAATCTATGGTGTATAACCTTTCGTAGTGATGCGCAACAATACTCGGGCGAATAGCGCCACCGAACTAGTATCCACGTATATATATATATCGTGGATATTCATTCGAGCATCGGATACTTAAGTATATACACAAAATCAGAAGCTAATAATGACAAATTATTAGCTCCTGACAAAATATACACACAAGTACAAACAGTCGCCCTATCCCACGGAATAGTAATAATCATCACGGTTCAGTGTAATTTTACTACTAGTATTTTGTATATATTCTTCATATGTTTTCAATGTTTGTCGAATACTAAGTCACTGTGGAATTTAAATCAGAAACCTGTGTATGCTGCTGAGTCAGTCCCCACTACTGTGCAATTTAAATCAATATTTCTATGACAGATAGTCTTCAATTGTTAGATTAAATAATCTAACAATGTGTCTCACTGCTGCTCTGTGTCTAAACATTTTGTATTTTATTATATGTAAATATTTTAAATTGACAAAAACTTTAATATTAATTGTACCATCTTGGTTTTATTCATATTTGATACCTTAATAAAGAAATAATTGTATATATGTTAATTAATATCATTATCTTTTAGCCGTATAACTTATAATCGCCGCGTTCCGTTTTCTAGACTTGCTGTCAGAGTGTTGCTACTTGCTGTCAGAGGGCACAGCCTCTGACAGCAAGTAGCAGCCTTACTTGCTGTCAGAGGCAAATTCCCAAATTCGATGCCTGATATACGTGAACACAGGAGTTGGCGAAAGTCAAAATCAGGGGGTCGATTGTCATTGTGTCTTTTTATTCACCAATATTGACATTATACACTAATGGACATCAGGGCAAATTGTTCCTTCATCGAAAGTTCGTAAGTCGGGGAGTCTGTACATATCTTTGGGTTAGGTAACTCATAGTGTAAGGAATTATTGAGAATGTCATGAGAAATGGCAGGAATCTGAATCTAAATTGGACCAGGTACGAGATCTAGGATAAACCAGTTACACGAAATAATGACTGAATTTGGTACTCATTTAAAGCTTAATATGTCTATCTAATCAGCACTCTTGATGATTAATAGAATAACTGACACTTTGTGTAGTTTACCAGTATATAACCTTACTACCAAATTAATGTTAAGTTCTCAAATTTCAAGGCTGGTTCAAATAAAAAGCTGAGTTTAAATGCATGCTGGGACGTACGCATGTACAGCTCGTTACTAGCGTTACAACTTACAGGCCATCCAATCTTTCATATTCCTGCTAGTATTGTCATGTGATCACAGCGTATAGGCATGTTGCCGTGTAAAATTATACCCAAGTTTTTAGCTCGGTTGTTCAACAACATTCAAAAGTCTCATTTGTAAGGTAACCATCATTGAAATTGTACAAGCTAATATGAATTCCGCTGTGAAATTACGTACTTACAAGTTACAAATGACACGAGGTGTCAGTCATTCTACGAATCGTCGACGGCGCGTGAATTAACCCTTCCCCCTCGACGTTGATCGCGCTCGTTTACCACACAGGCGATGTTCCACACACCTGCTGCGACTACGACCAGTTGCGCACGCTCGACAGCAACATGGCCTTGCCGCAGCAGTTCTTCCTGCGCTGCCCGGCTTGCTACAGCAACTTCCTGCAGCTCTACTGCAAGCTGACGTGCAACCCGACGCACAGCGACTACCTGAGCATCGAGCGGACGCGCGCCGGCGCGGACGACACGCGCGTCATCGAGGAGCTAACGTACGTGGTCGCGCGGCGCTACGCCGACGGCATGTACGCCTCCTGCAAGGACGTGCAGTACCCGGGCAACAACCAGAAGGCGATTGCGCTCTTCTGCGGGCGGTCCGCGGACGAGTGCACGCCGCAGGGCTGGCTGTCGTACATGGGCGACAAGAACAACGGCAAGACGCCGTTCCAGATCGACTACGTGCTGAGCGCGGCGGCGGCGGTGAACACCAGCGAGGGGGAGAAGGCACCGATGAACGCGAGCGTGGTTCCGTGCACGAGCGCCGTCGGCAATGACTCGTCGCCGTGCAGCTGCCTCGACTGCGAGGCTGCATGCGCGCCGCCGCCGCCGCCCGTGCCCCCGCCGCAGCCGTGGCTCATCGCCGGATTCGACGCGATGCGATTCATCATGGCGTGCGTCTACGCCGCGTTCGCCGTCGTCTTTCTCGGCTCAATCGCGTGGTCGTGCGGTTGCCGTGGCGATGGCGGCGGCGGGCGGCGCGCTGCCAGGGGGCGCCATGAGGACGAGCGCGTCGTGGAGGAGAAGGCGAGCTGTCTCGAGCGTCTCAATGCTAGGTGAGTACTTGCCTCGCTTGCTTAGCCGGTTTTTTTATTTCTAGGTCTCTGCACGTGAAGTCAAGTGCTCTTCCCAGAAGACTAATAGTTCCCACTCGTAATTAACGTAATCAATGACGAAATAATGATCAGTTGTCCCTAAAAAAGTAAAAAGTCGATGGAGCCCTTTGAGATGATTTCGTTTTAAAATTTCCATCGACGAGTCATGATATGTTGCTTCTGGTGAAGACAGTGCTAGACTGTCCTTTCAGTGAGTATTCTTCCAGAATGGGCATGTCATCGCAGTGAGCACGTGACGGCATGTACCAGGGGCTCGTTGTCTTTTGTCCTTAGTTTAACCTAGGGACCGTTGTCAGAAGCAAAATTAGTCTTAACATTAGTTTTACCTGTAACCATTAACTCTGACTCGTAAACCGTTGACAGAAATATCGTAAAGTTACGAGAACGAAAAATCCTCGGAAAATTCCTCTTAGCATTACGAGAGCCCAGACCCTCTCGTAACTTTAATATCAAGATGAAAATAACACATTTACACTAAAAATTACAATTATAGTGATAAATGATAATATTTTATATTAATTAGTAAACTATGTGTTTTTACTATGTGATTTTCATGGAAAACACGTCAGAAACATTACTTATCTACCGATCGTAAACCAAAACAAACATTTACGAATGGCGTTTGTTCTCTTGTTTTGAATATTTGACGGCAAGTACCAGGTTGTCTAAATTTCGACGAACAATTGATTGATTGATTGCTTGATTGATTGTAGGTGTGAGCAGTTGCTGCACAGGGCGTTTGCGCGGTGGGGAACGTTCGCAGCCGGTCACCATGTTTCGTGCTGCTTTTGGCCTCACCGTCTCCATCGCCTTCTGTCATGCGGAATCACCTTGATGCAGGTAAGAAACTCGTTAGCCGATGCCCGCTCGATCGCACCCACGTCACAGCGAATCATGTTAGGTATTCGTTGAAAACTTGTACGGAAGTAGATGGATGTAGTTGAAGGATGTTGTCACGAAATGAATGGAACAAAGGTGCGTCGTGTGCAAGAAATGGAATTGTCAAAATAGTAGTGATAAGGTGAGTCGTGTTGTTGTTCGCTTGTGTGCCTTCACACTTCTGGATATATGATTCATTTGTGATTAAATAATGTATTTATGTGCTAACTGTAGATAAGGTACATATCTAAACCTGTGTGTCAAAAAGGACCTATCCTATGTAGTATGTGTATGTTACATTGCATTTCCTCTTGATGATTTAACCACGTAAATGAATGTGCATGACATCATTGTTGATGCATTAAGTTTGATGTGCTGTCATTGAAGGATTTATGCGTGGGATATTTTTCAGGTGAACTCGTGTGGTTATGATAACCACACGAGTTCACCTGAAATGTTTGCATCGTATGTAAATATGTACGAATACCCATGTAATCTCATCTCAGACAAAACTAAGCCTCTGGTCGATAAGTGAACAGCCAAATGTAAATAGGCTAATCTAGTTCAGACACATCAAACATTCATGTAATGCCTCCCCCCCACGGGACCATGTATAGTGCGATGTAACGATTTTTTGCATGTTGCATGTAGGCAAATGCTGTTGAGTTTCTTAAAAATGAACGCAGCCAATGGGGACGGTGATATAACAGTGAGGCTAAAATAGTGCTAATAAATGTTGCTGTAATACTAATGATTTTCTCATTGCTGTTACCATTGACTGCCTTCCAACAAGAAAATCTTCTCTGGAACTATTTTATTCCATTCTTATTTTGGCTTACTATTACGCCTTCACGTCAGACACAGTCAATAGTCACTGTGTCTTGCACGTAAGCAACGTCAGTGTTGCTAGGTGTGTACATAACATGCTGGCAATGCTACGCATGGGCAACTAGTATGAAACAAACAATTAATGCACAATAAAATAATAGTTTTGTTGATGACCATCGCGTGATGCTCACGATTCCTTTCCTTGCGTCACAGGTAACTACCGATCGCCGTTGAAACTATGGTCAGAACCAACCAGCATCCACGCGTGCAGAAAGGACTACTACGATTCTCACTTCATGTAAGTGCTGTTCTCGGTAACATCTTATATATATATATGCCCTAACTCAACCAAATAATCGCCAAAACCCACCCGACATGATTAGATTTACATTAACGTTTCTTTTTTCGAATAGTTTCTACTCCATGTGACGCAACATATGTAGCAAACGGTACGTATTGTATGTCGGGACCTGCCACACAAAACGACGTCACTTACTCATGTTAGTATGGTAGCAAGCATATGCAGGACATCACGAAATGTGCGCTTGAAGTGCACAGAAACATTAATTAACAAGTGCGCTTGCATTAAAAAACGTTCCACTATTAGGGTTGAAAGGTAGCTAAGGTCGTTATCAAGTGAATAATATATACGCAGTGTACTTAAAAAAAAAAAAAACCCTAACCCTAACCTAACCTAAACCCTAAACCCTAACCTAAACCCTAACCTAACCCTGAAAAAAAAAAAAAAATTAAATTAAAGTGCCTAGTAGTCATATAATATCGCCATCTAAGCTGCGCGTTGCTACTTATACGCTGATCAACATTTTAGGTGACCGCGCCACGACCGCTCTAATGAGAAAAACCTCGTAAAAATGCATTAAAAGTTCCACTAGAGGTCATTTGTTATCGGCTGACCAGCATGAGACTGGCTAATGGGAGAACCCCCCCCCCCTCCGTGTACTTGTACACTGATCGCCGCATGCGTCATCGTTGCAGGCCGTTCTTCCGCACAGAGCAGATGATGCGTGAGGGTCGCGTCGACCAGACGCCCGTCATGCACGAGTACTAACCGCAGGGAGCGCAGTCAACTTCAGGCAGCGTCTTCAATATCGACGTCCTTCACGAGGTCGGTGACATTCATAGCCTCGCAGGGGTCACGGGGTCAGTCGGTCGCTCGCGTCGAGTAACACGGCGCGCGGTCGACTTTGTCTAGTGCTGTGGTTGGGCTGAGTAGCTTGTAGCTTGTTGCTTGTAGCTGAGCAGTTAGTGACAAGTCACCTACTGTTGTGTGACACCCCCACCCCTGCCTCACGCTAGATAGAGGTCACCTGGTCAGTGACTCGGTGTTACCTGCCTGTCGGAGGGGGTAGGGGTGCAAACGTGGTGTGTGTCACACGTGCTGTTGCCTCAGGCTTCTGCTTGTTTTTTCACGAGAAAAAAATCATTTGCGAAGCGTTTACCTCCACTGTATGTATAGTTGAATGCTGGATGCACACTCTATGCACATTATTGAAGCGCACTATGCGCATCCAAACGCTAATTTCTCCAGTACTAGACTAGCAAATACTTCGTGTCATGCATAATCACACTACCTTATGACAAAAATAAACTCTAGTTCCTCGCCAATTTCACTGCGCGTTTGCTTAAAACGCGCACAAGAAAGAGGTGAGAAAACTGGCATTCTGGCGCTAACGCCGACTTATTTGCCAAACAATTTAGTCTCGAAGCGGTTCGGTGACATCTTTATCGGTTATGTGATGTTTTTATCTTTGCTACACCCGTACCGCTGTACCGCAGCACGCATGCGCTGTGCGGTTGCTTGGCAGGGCAACGCGAAAATGTCAACAACATCGGAGAATTTGAACAAAACATTGGAGGTATTTTCAAATGCCTTTTATAGACAACGCCGCAGTGAAATGGGAGGAACTAGAGTTTATTTTATCATAAAGGTAGTGTGATTATCCGTGACACGAAGTATTTGCTAGTCTAGTACTGCGAAAATTAGCGTTTGGATGCGCATCAGTGCGGCTTTAAATATGTGATGTATGCGTACATGTGCAGTTTGTAGGTGTGAGCTGTGTACTTTCTCCTAAGGTACAGGTACTTGGTATGGACAGACAGACTAGGTCTCGTGACGTGCTAGTTGCAGGAGAGAAAGTGTCTATTAGGTGAAAATCAATGGTGGGGGCCGCTGGGGGGGGGGGGGAATACTTATAGCACGTGCAGTAATGTAATTACCTCCGCCAAGGGGTTGGCAGGAGGTTTTGTTTTCACCGGCGTGTGTTTGTTGGTTTGTGCGTGTACAGCCTAACTGAAAAAATTATGGACGGATTGTCATAAAATTTTCAGGATATTAGGTCAGAAATCGCCGCTAACTTAGAATTGAATGAGATTTTGGTGGTGATCGCGATCCAATTAATTAATTAATTAATTAAATTTTCAGGATAGGTCAGAAATGGGGTAACTTAGAATTGATTACATTTTGGTGGTGATCCGCGGATGCCACGTTAATTAATTAATTAATTAATTAATAAAATTTCCGGGATAGGTCAGAAATGGGGTAACTTAGAATTGATTACATTTGGTGGTGATCCGGATCCAATTAATTAATAAACAATTTCCACAGTGAGAGAATTGAGCTGGGCCTTGGCGGAGGTCTGTGCTCTCCGAGTGCTCTAGTTACAACTGTAATCCACCAGGCCATAATAAAAATATTGTTTGTTTGCCCTCACCCGACCCAGGCTGAAAAGTAGTGTAGGTCGGCTTTTTTTGAGGCGCGGGGGTCTTTTTACAAATTTAGCATGGTGTCTAACATGCTCGGTTGTGCTTGTGTCGAGACACCTTTTATGTTCAATGTTTGTTTTGCTTGGTACATATAATCAAGAGTAGATAATAACACATGTGTTTATTATCTACTCTTGATATAATGTATTGCCTACAGCATTATATGATGTACAGTGATACAATTTGTTTTAAAAAAAAGATCAAAATTTTTTTTTGAGGTCGCGCCCCTTTTTGGCGGGTCGGTCCGGGTGAGGCAAAGAAACCATATTTTTATTATGGCTCCAGCAACGACACACCTGTGGAACACGTGCATGCATTGTTACATGTTGCCGTTCATTGGAACAAAATAATCAATTACATGTCCGGCGGGAATACACGGGCGTGCGTGAGCGTGTGTTGGCACGCTCGCTGAGCTTTGGAAGCACGGTGAGTCGCTACGCGCGATGCGTAGACGTGGTGCGCGGCGCGGGGCGCGTCATTGGGCGGTTCTCACGGTCAGGCTTCCTCTGTCTGTAGCTTTAGCTTCCTCTGCTGTAGCTTCCCCTGCTGTAGCTTTAGCTTCCCCTGCTGTAGCTTTAGCTTCCTCTGCTGTAGCTTCCCCTGCTGTAGCTTTAGCTTCCTCTGCTGTAGCTTCTCCCCTGCTGTAGCGCTTAGCTTCCCTGCTGTAGCGTTAGCTTCCCCTGCTGTAGCGTTAGCTTCCCCTGCTGCTAGCTTAGCTTTCCCCTGCTGTAGCGTTAGCGGTCCCCTGCTGTAGCTGTAGCTTCCTCTGCTGTAGCTTTAGCTTCCCCTGCTGTAGCTTTAGCTTCCTCTGCTGTAGCTTTAGCTTCCCCTGCTGTAGCTATTAGCTTCCCCTGCTGTAGCTTTAGCTTCCTCTGCTGTAGCTGTAGCTTCCTCTGCTGTAGCTTTAGGCTTCCTCCTGCTGTAGCTTCCCCTGCTGTAGCTTCCTCTGCTGTAGCTTTAGCTTCCTCTGCTGTAGCTTCCTCTTTACCGGCTGTAGCTTCCTCTGGCTGTAGGCTCCTCTGGCTATAGCGCTTAGCTTCCTCTGCTGTAGGTTGCTGGAGCCTGCCAGCTGCGGGTGGAGAACATGGAGGTTCGGGTCCCCAGCCCTGAACGCGCACGGTCACGCTGCGCAGACATCTGCTTCACGCCGCTCGCGCCGACAACACCAACTGCACTGTGCAGAGCCTGCTGCAGTAGCTTCCAGAACAGCCACGAGGTGCTCAATCGCACGGCGATGGACCCGGACATGGGCATATTCGTCACGCCGCCGACTACATCGACCATTTCCTCTCGTGCGCACAGGTACGAGGAACGGGGGGAGACGAGGCGCGGGGGGGAGGCGGGGAGGGGTCTCTACTGTGTTGGAAGTGTTTTCTTGATGCTCTGTATCTCGCTCTCGCTCGCGCTCTCTCTCATCACTTTCTCTATCTCTCGCTCGCGTTCTCTCTCTCGAGCACTCTCGCTCGCTCGCTCTCTCACTCTCCTCATCTGCTCTCTGTCTGCTGCCTCTCTCTCTCTCTCGTCTTGTCTCTGTTCTGTGCCTTGCTCTCTCTCTCTCGTCTCTGTCTCTCGTATCTCTCGTCTCTCTCTCCTCTCTCTCGCCTCTCTCTCTCTCGTCTCTCTCTCTCTCTCTCTCTCTCTCTCTCTCTCTCTCTCTCTCTCTCCTTCCTCTCCTCTCCGACTCTCTCTCGTCTCTCTCATCTCTCATGAACATCTCTCATCTGCTCATCTCTCTTCCCTCTCTCTCTTCTCTCTCTCTCTCTCTCTCTGCCGCCTCCTCGCTCCCCCTCTTCGTCTCCTCGCTCTCTCTCTCTCGCTCTTACCTTCACTTCTATTCCAATGAATGTCTTTGTGGTTCTGTCATTTGTTTGCCAGGGTATTTTCTTAAAGTCATGCATGCCAGTAGGCCTACATCTTTAAGAAAAATAGGCTAATTGTAATTGGTCCGGGCATACCAGCTCGAGCCACTAAATGTTGGAAATCCAGTAAAAAATGTTGAAAAACTAGAGCAATGTACTAGTTCACCTACACATAAAATTACATCACCTACACATAAAATTACATCACCTACACATAAAATTACATCACCTACACATAAAATTACATCACATACATCATCATTTGTTTTACGACACACGTTGTTGTGTTGGGTGGCGTATTTTAGGTGGAGTCAGTTTAGTCTATGGAATGGTGTTTGATAATAGGATGTGATGTCATTGATCAGTGGATCGAGAATATATAATGGTACGTGAGTGATGCATCAGTGCTGATAAATCGGTTACCGCGATCCCTCGCTTTTCATGCTAATCCAGTTCTGCAAGATTAGCACCAAGTGAATCGTTGCTAATTGAACCACGAGTCTCGCAGGAGTCTACGTAAATGCCATTTGTTCGTGCGTGGAGATTATATTTCTGCGGCATCGGCTGTCCTAATCGTCTTACTTGCACGAAGCATCTGCTGCCATAAACCGATTATATCTGTAAATTATGGTAGCCGTCTCGTAAAATGCTCGACAGACTGTTACGAGATTTGTTGGTCGTAAATTGGAAACGTGGCCTATCAGGGGATTGGGGCCGGGGGCTTGTGAACGTGCTCAATAAATGCCTGGAAGATAATTTAAGATTAACGAGTACAGATTACGAAAAAAATAGTTTCAACCACAAAGCTTATTTTTTTGGGGGAGTTGGGCACGTAATTTTCGCCGCGTGCAGTTACGGAAATCGATATGACGTTTCTGTGTTCAGCCTCATCAGGTATTGTTTAGCAGCCAGCCGGGTACAAGTATCCGATTGCCTTGTTTACAGGGAATATACTTTATAGGTTTTCCATGTTCATAAATATGCAGCGGTCAGCAGATTGAGGTTGTAAACTCTGTTTGCTGTCGTATCAGTGTTGGCACTGTGCCTTACTGCTGACTCTGAAGTAATGGATGACACTTGGCAATCGCCCCACTTTTTGCAACCTCTCTAATGAACTTTGCAAACATCATGTGATGTGTCATGAGTCACTTTTATTGGACGTCTGTTATTTGTTTTGCTGTTAAGAGGCATATTCTTATATGACTCTTAACAGCAAAACAAATAACAGACGTTATGTGACAGAATGTTTGTGTTATTGGCAAGCAACCATGTAGCAGGAAATTGTGAAGGTCGTCGTACAATGTTGACTGGTTCTTTGACACCACTGTATAAAAACGGTGTGCTTGCCAAATGCCTAGTTTGCTGTTTAGGTTTGTGAGGGGTACTTACCAGGGGCGGAGGCAGGGGCATAGATTCATTAGCCACGTGAGAATGCAGCATTTGTTTGGCCACAATAAAATATATATATATTGCCGCAGTTGTAAACATGCCAAGTGCGGTGAGCATGTTATATTTGCCACAGCAGTGGAAATATTTACATGGTATTATTAGCTCTTGATGGTATTGTTATCTGTGTTTACAGCGACCCAGCATCAATAGCAGACATGACTACATTACACAGCACCTGTTTGGGAACGTTTGGAGGACCAGTAGCTCCATGGGTAGCCCTTGGTGGCTTTCCAGGTGCGTAAATTAGCAGGCCAAACACTAGTCTGTAACTGCCCCAACCCCCACGTTCCAACCTTACTTTTTTACAACGTAAGTCCTTTATACAACTCCACTTTACATTTTTTAGGCGGATCTATGAGTTTCTAGACCATGATAATAGATCAAGTCATCTAGTGTTTTTGCGATTACATGATTATTTATCCTAGATGGTAATTGCGATGATGATCGATTGAAATGTCCACTAACGTGTATGCAGTTGTTTGCCAAATGTCTTTACTCTGTTTGCTTGTACTCTAAATGAATTATTCTGTTTTTAATTTTTAAATACTCTTGTCTTTAACTGTCACTGCTGTTGTCATGACATGTTGTTCCTTACATATTAATATATTATTCCTTAATATATATTTTAATAATTCTTTTTATTTATTATATTTTTCGATTATTTATCCCTTATTTATCCCGGATGGTATTATGCCGCGATGAGGATCGATTGAAATATCCAGTAAGGAGTGCCGATGTTTGCGAACTATGTTTACTCACTGTTGTGCGTTGTTTTTTACAGAAGCTGAGTATGGAAATGCCACCGCTCTCGTCATCACGTTCGTCGTCCAGAATCGTAAAAACGATCCGGAGTTTCTTCAGATGGCGCTCGCCTGGGAAAAATCCTATATCGAGCTCATGAAAAACTACTCGAATGAGAAGCTGATCATAAGCTTTAATTCGGAGGTGAGCAGGAGGGGATCGGACGTTGCGGCCGTGCCGACGTTGACTTCCACATTCTCTTAATTCTTCTCATATTTGCGTCACCGTCTGTTCATGGCATCTCGCAGATGTCTCTTGTTTGAGCTCTAATGAATGTCTTGCCTATTCACAGTATTATAATTATAATTAATACCCGAAGTGAGATTTTGATCTCCAACGAAAGTACTCTCACATCTCTCAGATGCGACTGAGGCAATTTTTCACCACTCGTAACCTCGACCCTCATCCTTTCCTTTTGTGTTTCGGCTCGTCTTACTTTTTACCTCTGGTATTTTCGTTGGGAAATATGTAGATACGTGTTATGATCGACCGACGGTTGGCAGCCCGTCTTTCTGATGGTGAATCCTTGATCGTGTGCGGTAGTGCCATCGTATTTTGCTCTGCGCATAGTTAAACGGAGGCTGACGAACGTGTTTTTGGCTTCAGCGGTCGGTCGAGGATGAGTTGGAGCGCGAGAGCCAGTCAGACATCGTAACGATTCTTGTCAGCTACCTCATCATGTTCGCCTACGTGTCTGTCGCGCTTGGCCAGGTCAACAACTGCTACAGGCTTCTGGTAAGTTCTGCGGTTAAAGCCGAAATGTCGAGAATTATCTAGCGTTTTCCACGCTTTTACGATACCTACTGTTATTACTTGAATAACAGCAACTGTCGAGAGTAACGCTAACGTGTCGTAGAACCTTCGTACCACCAAAACAGGCTTTTAGTAGGTTCTGCGTTTATCGTTAACCATCGCAGGCACATGAAGCGAAGGTCTGTGTCGTGTGAGCTGCTGTGCTGGGTACGCGCTAGCAATGCGGAGAGAGAGGATGCGAATCGTTAACGTTGTGTTTCTACTACGAGTTCACGTGTATACGTCGTTTGCTTGATCTCCTCCCATTTCCTTCCTCCCTTTTAAAGCCAGGGTTTCGAAAATTATTTCCGACCAGTGTCGCGTTAGTAGCAGTCTCGAGTGATGAGCGCCCCGTTATGTCGTTTCTTCTCGCGCTTACAGATCGACACGAAGATCTCGCTGGGTCTCGGCGGAGTCGTCATCGTGCTTGTCTCGGTGACGTCATCGATCGGCACGCTCAGCTACGCCGGCGTCCCTGTCACCCTCATCGTCATCGAGGTCGTCCCGTTCCTCGTGCTGGCCGTCGGCGTTGACAACATCTTCATCCTCGTGCAGGCGTATCAGGTGAGAGCCGTGCGGCAGTATCCCGCGTGCTCTGCGGGTCAGAGTTTACAGGCTTACACCGGGTTACGTAGCCGTGTTGCCAAGTCTTATGAAGTTACTTATTTTGCCAAAATAAAAATAAGGCCCTTATTAGTACTTATTCTTTTTTGTGTGAAATCTTAGAAAAAGTACTTATAGTCCTTATTTTTTGCCAAAGCGACCATTTCTTCAATATTTTCTGTTGCGTTTGAATTTCGTGCGAACGGCTGTGCAATTGTGTACTTATAAAAATTATTAGTGTACTTTAATAGTCCGGTGATTCTATCAGAAATCGCGTAAAAAGTCCTTATTTTTGCCCTCCAGAAAGGAGTCTTATAAGTCCTTATTTCAACATGTGTCTTACTACTATGAACCCTGGGTTATGTCCTGCAGTGTACTGTGCAGAGTTGTGTCTGTTGTGAACAGGACGAGACATTGCCACAGATGGTGTGCATGATTGCCGAGGAGAGCATATACATGTTGATCAATCGAAAAATCGATAATTCATCGCCAGAAATTCATCTGATAATAAATATAAAGAGGGAAATAGAAGAATATGAATCGTCGATTCATATATAATAAGATATATATGGTATATGATACACAGGCGGCTAAATTCGCGTACGTAGGAGTGGGCGGGGAATGATCACGCCGAAGGGGGGAGTGTTCGGTGGGCCCTCCCCAGAAATTTTTGTGAATTAGGACCCCCTCAGATGCGGTTTTCTGCCCCCCTGTATCACACCCTCCTGCCAGTAATTGAAATGATTTAGATCTGCCCATGTTCTCCAAATACATAATTACGCTGAAACTTTCAAGTTGGGCACGGAGGAAAGCCCCTCCTTCAAGAGGCGGGGGGGGGGCGGGTCGATGCATCCCCCATCCCCTGGGATTTACGGCCCAATGATGATTTACGGCATCTTCGATACTGATATTTCTACTGGAAATATGACGAGGTTATTTAACTGTATATTTCTATATCATCCTATTATACACCTATACTTAAATTAATTGAGGGTGAAACCCCAAAAGAGTTAACTTTTTCTTTCATAAACTCTAAACTTCAAACATTTTATCTCTTTTCTCTTCAAACGTGACGGTTTGTGACATATATAACATTATTATTATTATTTTATTATTATATAATTTACTTTATATTGGACCCTTTTTACATTAAATTGATCAAAGGCCGAGCACATTGATATCACAACGCGACTGAAACAATAAGAATGATGCGGCAATACTAACAATGTCATTGTAGATATCATCACTTACTGTGAGTGTCAAATACAATTAAACAAGTGGCCTATGTATATTACTAAAAACCTATATGAAATCATTTCTCTAAAATCTAAATCTATACATCGCTATATACATATATATATAATTGTAGTTAATGAATTAATAATAATAATAATACTAACATCATCTTGTGTGCAAACGTGTAGCGGAGTGCAAGGAGGTCTAACGAGTTGCTGCATGAGCATGTTGGAAGGATCGTCGGCGAGGTGGGACCAAGCATGCTCCTCTCCAGCGTAGCTGAAGCCACGGCCTTCTTCATCGGTGAGCATCCCTGCGCAGCCTCCTCATCACTCATGATCACTCGTCGTCGTCGACAACTACGCTGTTAAACATGCAACGAAACTCCCCAACTCTCTTTTATCACTCGCAATCATTGACCTCATCACAACTATGCTGTTAAACATGCAACCATCCTCTCATCAACTCTCCTTTTTCGTCTTCTCGTTTCATGGGTCGGGTTGAACTTGGCTTTTCCCACCTCTTTATTTTGTGTCCTTCACTTGGTTGTAGTTGACAAACATTGCCTGTGATTTCTCAAGCTTGCCCTGAGCCACGTTAGTAGAGGGGACAAATACGTAAATTTTGTGTGTTTGTTACAAACGATTGCATAAATGATCACGGCGTTTTTGTCGACCTCGTTTGACCTGATTTGCACCTTGTCCCGTGTCATCGTTGAGTAGGAATGTATGGGTTGAAGAAGCAGTGTGTTGCTTGTGGTTAATGCATACGTGTCGGTTAACAGGTGCAATGTCTCACATGCCTGCGGGGGCCAGCTCAGGGGCGGACTGTTCTCTCTCTATGCGGCCCCTGGCTGTATCCTCTTGACTTTCGGGGCGGACCTGCTGGGGGGTCTGGATGGCAATTGCAAATCACCTGCTTTGTGGGTCTACTTGCTCTGGACTCCAAGCGACAAGAGGTAGGTACCAGCAGGTGGCGCCACTGGTGAAGAGGTTCTAGGTTTGATGAGTCATGGTTGTGTTGTAAAGCCTAAAATAATGTAGACAGTGAGAGAGTGTGTGTGTGCATGAGAGAGCAAGACAGAGAGAAAGAGAGAGTGTGTGTGTGCATGAGCGAGAAAGACAGAGAGAAGAGGAGCTGTCTTTCGGAGTCAGCGAGTGGGAGGTCTAGGGTGGTGTGCCATAGGAGTAGGTGGGTGCGAGCAAGACAGATGAAGAAGAGAGAAGTGGAACGTGCAATGAGAGGAGCCAAGACAGAGAGAAGCGTGAGGCAGTGTGTGTGTGCATTGAGAGAGCAAGGACAGAGAGAAGCTGAGTGGTGATGTGTGCAATGAGAGGAGCAGACAGAGACAGAAGGTGTAGTGGTGGTTGTGCATGACGAGAGCAAGACAGAGAGAAGGTGAGTGTTGTGTGTGCATGGATGAGATCAAGACAGAGAAGAGAGAGGCGGGGGGAGAAAACAGAGAGAGAGACGAAGACATTTCTTGATGAGGTACGCGCGGCGTTCGTTATTCTCACGTTACAGCACGCCTACATCATAACCGACCGCGAGAGAAAGGGAGAGAGAGGGGGAGACAGACGATCCGAGAGAGAGAGATGGAGAGAGAGGAGGCGGGAGAGCAGAGGAGAGAGGAGAGAGAGAGAGAGAGATCGAGACGAGAGAGGGTGGGGGAGAGAGGGAGAGAGAGACAGAGGACAGCAGAGAGAGAGGAGATGAGAGAGGAGAGAGAGAGAGAATGAACAAGGAGAGGAAGAGAGAGAGATAGAGAGAGAGAGAGAGGGAGGAGAAGAGAACCTGACGAAGGAAGAGAGAGAGAGAGAGAAAGAGAGAGAGAGATAGAGAGAGAGAGAGAGATGAGACGAATGAGAGAGATGAGAGAGAGAGAGAGAGAGAGAGAGAGAGAGAGAAGGAGAGTTTTACCGTTTGCACGCTTTGCGGTTTCCAGCGCAGCCGCCTCGACATCTGCTGCTGCGTGCGCGTCGGACACAAGAGCGAGCACATGAAGCCGGTCACGAAGGAGGAGCAGGAGGGCTTCCTCTACAAGATGGTGAAGCACTGCTACGCTCCCGCGCTGCTCAGCAAGTACATCCGTCCAGCCGTGGTGAGTCGGCAAGCCGTGGCGCGCGTGCCACCGCGTTTTCCGGTAGTATGGTTAAGTATGGTAGTATAGTATGTTGTAGGTGCGCCACCTGTAGGGGACGGGTGCGCGCGCCGCCATGTTTGTTGTGTAAATTTACTTTGAAAAATTACGAATTTCTTGTTTAAAATTACTCTCATGTAAATTTTTTATCCTCGGCAGTCCGGTTTGGCGCGTCGAGTTGCTACGATCGGGAAATAGTACGGCGGGTTGTGTTAGGAAAGTAATTATGTGTTGCGATGTTGTTCATGTTGTGTGCTGGGTTATGTTGAGAAGGTAATGTTTTTTTCGGAACATGGTTGTGTGATGTTCAACACGTTTGCTTATTTCTTACAGGTGATGGGATTTGCTGGGTGGCTCTGCTTCTGTATCTCCATGGTGAACAAGATCGAAATCGGACTTGATCAGTCGCTCTCCATGCCCGAGGTTAGTTCCTAGAGCTCGCCGATTCCCACGTGCGAAATACATACGATACCTGCATTAATGTGATATAAAAATCAAGGAAGACTATTCATGGAGGCATTTCCCATCAGATGAAGGAATGGGACACAGCGATGGAAATGTCACTGGTTACTTTCGCTGTCATTTGATTTTGTACGTTTACTAAATTTTGTATAGCTCGTTACTCGTGGCTGTAATTAGTCTGTTAATTAAACGTAATTAAACTGTCTCGCTGCAGGACTCCTACGTGCTCGACTACTTTGGCGCGATAAAGAAGTACCTGTCTGTCGGGCCGCCCGTCTACTTCGTCGTCGAGGATGGCTACGAATACACGAACAGGAGCACGCAGAACAAGATCTGTGGAGGCAATGGATGCGCTGACGATTCCCTTCTCAGCCAGATCTACACAGCTTCCAAGCAGCCAAACTCGTGAGTCTCCTAAAGTGTCGCGTGGGAGTGTTTCTCGTGGGAGGCTTCGTCGTTTCGTATTTTGTTATTTCGACGTTCGTACGCGTGGCAGGTAGCCGATGTTTGTTCTTTTGTGGCTGGCTTGGTGAATAGCTGAATGAGTCGTAGCGTCACGAGAAATTGTGCGCGGGGTTGTGAGACGCTCGGCTGGTATTGGTCACGTTCATTGTAGTGCGAGTCAGAGTTCTGCACGACGTTTTCACGTGTTACTACGGGTGGTTAGTACCATACTTGTACAGCAACGTGGCAGCTATTAACCTGGTCTCCTTGTTAAAAGTACATATTTTAACGTTTGCTTGCTCAGCGTTGCTGATCCTCATATTTAGATGTGGTTCGTGTGCTCGTGTTGTGATCGTACTGCACAGCCTCCTTGATCTTCAGTGGTCATCTTACTAGTGTGTTTTGATTACAGGAGCCACATAGCCCACCCGGCGTCGTCGTGGTTGGACGACTACTTTGATTGGGCCAGTACGTCCTCATGCTGTCGGTTGTACAACAACACAGACAGCTTCTGTCCTGCATATGGTGAGGCTGCAATCACTATATAAGGCTGTTAATATATGGATTATTTATAGACTATATAGACTTATAGACATATATATATAGTATATATAGTTATTATTATATATTATATTTATATCTTTACATATAATACTTATTATATATATATAGACTTATAAACTACTACCGAGACACTAACAACTATGATGCATCTTCATTAACATATTCAGCATCCGTGGTATATATTCATGATATAGCATAGCTGTTCCTTCTTATGGGGAGGATGCTCAAGGGATGCTAGTAGTTAGTCAAATATCTAGGAGCTTATAGCAAATTTCAGTGATACTGTGCAAGCTTACAATGATCTTTTGATTGCAATAATTACCCTTAACCTTTATGTAAGGGTTTACAGGGTTGCAAACTGGTAACAAGATTTCTTTTTACCAATTGCTGTCTTTGCTGATAATTGACAGTTGGAAAATATATTCTGTAAGCATCATTTAAAGAGGCTGTGCAGGTTACTTCAAGCAAGACTTCTTTTAGGGGTGGTCGCATTTAATAAGTACATTTACGTGATATGATTGTGCTGTACGTGGTGGTAACGATCGTAGACGGGTCTGTGATTAAACCCGTGAATCTGGTCTGTCATTGTTTCAGTTAAAAACGACACGTGCGTCGCTTGCGACATTCACAAGGAATTCGGGAGGCCCGTCCCCGAGGATTTCTCGCATTTCCTGCCGTACTTCCTGAAGGACAATCCCAACATTAACTGTGCAAAAGGGTGAGTAGAGATATGTCCAGTATGTACACCAAGTAAATCTCGCTTAACCGAGAAACGTTATTAATTACTTATTATCATTAATTAAGCTGGGGTACATGTTATGTTAAATTTCAAGCTGCACCATTTCGCTTGGCCTACAGTCTAAATGAAGTTAGTATGAATACAGTTATAGCTGTACTATATATATGCTAATCTTAAGTTAATAGAACTACACAAAATGGCGTCTGTGTATTGGTTTTCCTAAGCAGGTTCAATAAAATAGCTGAGACATATTGACTAAGGTGGGGAGATACTGCACATAATCTTAAGAATCTATGTGAGCATGTGACTATGTGTTTTCAGAGGGCATGCGGCGTATGGGACGGCAGTTGAACTGCATAACAATAGTGATGTTGGAGGTAAGATAACTGCTATACAGTCGCTGTAGTACATGCAACTACCATAACTCTCCTATGAAACCGTTCCCAGTGATGTGACCTTATAGTAATCGATCGAGCATTATTCCCCAACTATGTCATCATTTTAATTACTTACTTTACTTTTTATTTACTCTTTACTGCTTTTTATTAGATTAAGCATAAATGTTTTCGACTGTTTCTTGAGATAATCGTTTTAATGGGTTATTGTGTGTGTGTGTGTGTGTGTGTTACAGCTACGTATTTCATGACGTATCACTCTGTACTGAAGTCGTCGGCTGACTACATCGCTGCACTGAAGAATGCGCGCATCATCTCCGAAAACATCACCGCCACGATCAACACACCGGGTGTACAGGTGTTCCCTTACAGGTATAACGCACACCTGATGGCTATGCCCACCCACGCTCGTTAGCTCACTGGATGTGATGCACATAGGCTCTCTCATTTGCTTCTAAACTCTGCAAACCTACTCAAGATGCTAATCTAAAATGAATTCGGGTCAATTAAAAATTTAATTTTAATTCAATTCAATTAATTCAATTTTTTCGATTTCAAAATTTCTAAAATAAATTAGCTGTTGCTGCACAGGGCGTTTGCGCGGTGGGGAACGTTCGCAGCCGGTCACCCGATGTTCGTGCTGCTCTTCGGCCTCACCGTCTCCATCGCTCTGTCGTGCGGAATCACCTTGATGCAGGTAAGAAAACTCGTTAGCCGACGCCCGCTCGATCGCACCCACGTCACAGCGAATCATGTTAGGTATTCTCTGAAACTTGTACGGAAGTAAGATGGATGTAGTTAAAGGACGTTGTCACGAAATGAATGGAACAAAGGTGCGTCGTGTGCAAGAAATGGAATTGTCAAAATAGTAGTGATAAGGTGAGTCGTGTTGTTGTTCGCTTGTGTGCCTTCACACTTCTGGATATATGATTCATTTGTGATTAAATAATGTATGTTTATGTGCTAACTGTAGATAAGGTACATATCTAAACCAGTGTGTCAAAAAGGACCTATCCTATGTAGTATGTGTATGTTACGTTGCATTTCCTCTTGATGATTTAACCACGTAAATGAATGTGCATGACATCATTGTTGATGCATTAAGTTTGATGTGCTGTCATTGAAGGATTTGTGCATGGGATATTTTTCAGGTGAACTCGTGTGGTTATGATAACCACAAGAGTTCACCTGAAATGTTTGCATCGTATGTAAATATGCGCGAATACCCATGTAATCTCATCTCAGACAAAACTAAGCCTCTGGTCGATAAGTGAACAGCAAATGTAAATAGGCTAATCTAGTTCATGATCACATCAAACATTCATGTAATGCCTTTCCCCCCCCCCCTCTCGGGACCATGTATAGTGCCGATGTAACGATTTTTGCATGTTGATGTAGGCCAAATGCTGTTGAGTTTCTTAAAAACGAACGCAGTCCAATGGGGACGTGATATAACAGTGAGGCTAAGAATAGTGCTAACAAATGTTGCTGTAGTGATTCTCTCATTGCTGTTACCATTGACTGCCTTCCAACAAGAAAATCTTTACTGGAACTATTTTATTCCATTCTTATTTGGCTTACTATTAGTATTACCCTTTACGTCAGACACAGTCACTAGTCACTGTGTCTTGCACGTATAAAGCAACGTCAGTGTTGCTAGGTGTGTACATAACATGCTGGAAATGCTACACATGGGCAACTAGTATGAAACAAAAATTAATGCACAATAAAATAATAGTTTTGTTGATGACCATCGCGTGATGCTCACGATTCCTTTCCTTGCGTCACAGGTAACTACCGATCCCGTTGAACTATGGTCAGAACCAACCAGCATCGCACGCGTGCAGAAGGACTACTACGATTCTCACTTCATGTAAGTGCTATTCTCGTAACCATCTTATATATATATATGCCCTAACTCAACCAAATAATCGCCAAAACCCACCCGACATGATTAGATTTACATTAACGTTTCTTTTCGAACAGTTTCTAATCCATGTTACGCAACATATGTAGCAAACAGTACGTAACTACGTATTGTATGTCGGGACCTGCCACACAAAACGACGTCACTTACTCATGTTAGTATGGTAGCAAGCATATGCAGGACATCACGAAATTGTGCGCTTGAAGTGCACAGAAACATTAATTAACAAGTGCGCTTGCATTAAAAACGTTCCACTAGTAGGGTAGAAAGGTAGCTAGAGGTCGTTATCAAGTGAATAATATATACGCAGTGTTCAGGTGATCGGCATGACCGGCTAATGAGAAAAACCCGAATTCTTATGCGCTGATCAGTATTCAGGTGACCCGCACTACCTATTTTAAATGAGAAAAAAACTTGTGTACTTATACGCTGATCAACATTTAGGTGACCGGCACGACCGTCTAATGAGAAAAACCTCGTAAAAATGCATTAAAAGTTCCACTGGAGGTCATTTGTTATCGGCCGACTGGCTAATGGGAGAACCCCCCCCCCCTCCGTGTACTTGTACACTGATCGCCGCATGCGTCATCGTTGCAGGCCGTTCTTCCGCACAGAGCAGATGATCGTGAGGGTCGTCGACCAGACGCCCGTCATGCACGAGTACTACCCGCAGGGAGCACAGAACTTCAGCAGCGTCTTCAACATCGACGTCCTTCACGAGGTCGGTGACCTTCATAGCCTCGCAGGGGTCACGGGGTCAGTCGGTCGCTCGCGTCGAGTAACACCAGCGGCGGTCGACTTTGTCTAGTGCTGTGGTTGGGCTGAGTAGCTTGTAGCTGCTTGTTGCTTTGTCGCTGGAGGGGCGCAGGTTAGTGAGCAAGTCGGCTACTGTTGTGTGACACTCCCACCCTGGCCTCATGCTAGATAGAGGTCACCTAGTCATGGGCTTGTGTTACCTGCCTGTCGGGGTGGGGGGGGTGCAAACGTGGTGTGTGTCACATGTGGTGTTGCCTCCAGCGGCTTCTGCTTGTTTTTTCAGCGAGAAAAAAATCATTTGCGAAGCGTTTACCTCACTGTATGTATAGTTGAATGCTGGATGCACACTGTATGCAGCATTATTGAAGCGCACTATGCGCATCCAAACGCTAATTTCTCCAGTACTAGACTAGCAAATACTTCGTGTCATGCATAATCACACTACCTTATGACAAAAATAAACTCTAGTTCCTCCCATTTCACTGCGCGTTTGCTTAAAACGCCACAAGAAAGAGGTGAAGAAAACTGGCATTTCTGGCGCTAAGGCCGACTTATTTGCCAAAGCAATTTAGTCTCGAAGCGGTTCGGTGACATCTTTATCGGTTATGTGATTGTTTTTATCTTTGCTAGCACCCGTACCGCTGTACCGCAGCACGCATCCTGTGCGGTTGCTTGGCAGGGCAACGCGAAAATGTCAACAACATCGGAGAATTTGAAACAACATTGGAGGTTATTTTCAAATGCCTTTTATAGAGCAACGCGCAGTGAAATGGAGGAACTAGAGTTTATTTTATCATAAAGGTAGTGTGATTATCCGTGACACGAAGTATTTGCTAGTGCTAGTACTGGATAAATTAGCGTTTGGATGCGCATCAGTGCGGCTTTAAATATGTGATGTATGCGTGTGCAGTTTGTAGGTGTGAGCTGTGTACTTTCTTCTAAGGTACAGGTACTGTGTATGGACAGACAGACTAGTCTCGTGACGTGCTAGTTGCAGGAGAGAAAGTGTCTATTAGCTGAAAATCAATGGTGGGGGCCGTGGGGGGGGGGGGGAATACTTATAGCAGACGTGCAGTAATGAATTACCTCCGCCAAGGGTTGGCAGGAGGTTATGTTTTCACCGGCGTGTGTTTGTTGGTTTGTGCGTGTACAGCCTAACTGAAAAAGTTATTGACGGATTGTCATAAAATTTTCAGGATATAGGTCAGAAATGCCGCTAACTTAGAATTGAATGAGATTTGGTGGGTGATCGCGATCCAATTAATTAATTAATTAATTAAATTTTCAGGATAGGTCAGAAATGGGGTACACTTAGAATTGATTACATTTTGGTGGTGATCGCGGATGCCACTTTAATTAATTAATTAATTAATTAATAAAATTTCCGGGATAGGTCAGAAATGGGGTAACTTAGAATTGATTACATTTTGGTGGTGATCCGGATCGCAATTAATTAATAAACAATTTCCACAGTGAGAGAATTGAGCTGCCTTGGCGGAGGTCTGTGCTCTCCGAGTGCTCTAGTTACAACTGTAATCCACCAGGCATAATAAAAATATTGTTTGTTTGCCCTCACCCCGACCCAGGCTGAAAAGTAGGTAGGTCGGCTTTTTTGAGGGCGGGGGTCTTTTTACAAATTTAGCATGGTGTCTAACATGCTCGGTTGTTGTGCTTGTGTCGAGACACTTTTATGTTCCAATGTTTGTTTTGCTTGGTACATATAATCAAGAGTAGATAATAACACATGTGTTATTATCTACTCTTGATATAATGTATTGCTACAGATTTATATGATGTACAGTGATACAATTTGTTTTAAAAAAAAGATCAAAATTTTTTTTTGAGGTCGGCCCCTTTTTGGCGGGTCGGTCCGGGTGAGGGCAAAGAACCATATTTTTATTATGGCTCAGCAACAGACACACCTGTGGAACACGTGCATGCATTGTACATGTTGCCGTTCATTGGAACAAAATAATCAATTACATGTCCGCGGGAATACACGGCGTGCGTGAGCGTGTGTTGGCACGCTCGCTGAGCTTTGGAAGCACGGTGAGTCGCTACGACGCGATGCGTAGACGTGGTGGCGGGCGGGGCGGTCATTGGGCGGTTCTCACGGTCAGGCTTCCTCTGTCTGTAGGCTTTAGCTTCCTCTGCTGGTAGCTTTCCCCTGCTGTTAGCTTTTTTTTAAGCTTCCCCGCTGCTGTAGCTTTAGCTTCCTCTGCTGTAGCTTCCCCTGCTGTAGCTTTAGCTTCCCCTGCTGTAGCTTCCCTGCTGTAGCGCGTTAGCTTTCCCCTGCTGTAGCGTTAGGCTTCCCCTGCTGTAGCGTTAGCTTGCCCTGCTGTAGCTTTAGCTTCCCCTGCTGTAGCGTTAGCGTCCCCTGCTGTAGCTGTACTTCCTCTGCTGTAGCTTTAGGCTTTTCCCCTGCTGTAGCTTTAGCTTCCCCTGCTGTAGCTTTAGCTTCCCCTGCTGTAGCTTTAGCTTCCTCTGCTGTAGCTTTAGCTTCCTCTGCTGCTGTAGCCCGCTGTTAGCTTCCTCTGCTATAGCTTTAGGCTTTCCCATCTGTGTAGCTTTAGCTTCCTCTGCTGTAGCTGTAGCTTCCTCTGCTGTAGCTTCCTCTGCTGTAGCTTCCTCTGCTGTAGCTTCCTCTGCTATAGCTTTAGCTTCCTCTGCTGTAGGTGCTGGACCTGCAGCTGCGGGTGGAGAACATGGAGGTTCGTGTCGACGCCCTGAACCGCACGGTCACGCTGCGAGACATCTGCTTCACGCCGCTCTCGCCCGACAACACCAACTGCACCGTGCAGAGCCTGCTGCAGTACTTCCAGAACAGCCACGAGGTGCTCAATCGCACGGCGATGGACCCGGACATGGGCATATTCGTCACCGCCGACTACATCGACCATTTCCTCTCGTGCGCCAGGTACGAGGACGGGGGGAGACGAGGGGGGGGGGGGG